GTCAATGCCACGTGAAATTTTATTTTATTTCTGATACTATTTTCTTGTCTATATGCCACATGCAAAATACCAGATAATTTACTACTGAATTTCTCATCCCAAGAGTATCAAATTAGAATTCTAGTTTAGTAATCCTCACTTAAGAGAAGAATTCAAAATGCTGACTAATAATGAAAATGGTTCAGATATCAATCTCTGTTCCATGACAACTCCCCCCCCCCCCCACAAGGCTTAAACCAAATAATCAGAACAAAATGTATGTGGTCAATAATCCTTCCACTATTTAGTTTAATAGTGACCACTATTTAACTAAAGCAAAAGAATCGACCCCAGTCAGCCTTTCAATTAAATATTCTTATCACTATGCTAAATCTTCTTTCAAATTCCATTTATATTTCTACAACACAATGTATGCAATTGTTATTGTAATAAATATTTTTTTCTATTATGCCTGGTTCTAATTTGAAATCTACTTCATTTTTCAGGTTTAATGTGTCTGCTGCTAACTTAAAAAGAAAATGAATGCAGATACCTCTGTTTTTTCGCAAGCCGTGGAAGCTTCAATGCTTCAGACAACTAAGATTGTAGAAGAAGAGCTTGATGCTGAAATACAAAAATTGGACCAGATGGATGAAGATGAACTGGAACTTCTCAAACGAAGAAGGCTTGAAGCACTCAAGAAAGCTCAGCAACAAAAACAGGTAACTGATAAATATAAGGGTCCAAACCCCTTCTCCTGTATTGCATTTATAATCATGGAGTATCTCTACAAACTAGGCCACTCGTAGTCCACTAACACATAAAGAGATGACATTAACAAAATGTTAGCTTATTTTCCATCACAGGGATTTGAGATGAAGTGAAATTAAATAGTGAATTAGTAAATTCTATTAAAATATGAGGGTTTTAGTCAATATTCATATGTTTATTATTACAGCCTCACCCATCAACCTTTGCAAATTTAATCTAAGCTACTTTAACAGATTCAGTGAAATACATGTATGAATTGCCTCAGGGTACAGTCCAATGCACATTGGAAGAAACATCTGTTGACTTTGTAAGACTACCTGATTCCATCTAGTCGTATAGGCATAGGACTAGCTACTATAACATTCCAACTTCTTGAATTCTTTTATCATTGGTTGACAGATTCTTCCAAGTGTTGCCTTTCATTATTTTCCATATAATGAATGTAAACAAACATAATATTATCTTATTATGCCCAAATACATCAGTCTATGAATATCTTAGGACTTCCAGGGTCATTACAATTATCAACCTCAATAAGTATTGTGATATAAAAAACTGAAGAACATACAGAAGAGTAATTGAAAATCTTTATGAAAGGCAGGATTGAGTTTTTTCTGCTAAAAACCAGTTGGGGGGAATCAAATGGTTACCCTTGATCTTAAGTAATATGCAGGAAGCGCAGTTTTAAAAATAAAGATCAAGCAAAAAATGAATTTGATTTAATTTACATTTGCAGTATAACTCAAATTCAAACTAAGCAATTGCAGCTACTATATCACTAAAATGGCTTAAAGAATTCCAGTCTGGAAGTGAAATTTGTACAGATATTTTTGACTAATTAAATTACTGTATGAATACACAATTGTTGCAGCCCTATGTAATTTCTGAACAAACCATAATTTTTGGACAGGTTGGAACAAATATGTGCATGATTCCACTGGTAATTTACTTCATATTAAAGTATTAACCATTAAAACTTCACTATTCTTTTGGAATGCAGACTTTTCTTCTAGTCCTTTTAGTTTTGGAAATGATTTATAATAAATGTTGAACTACTTTTTATTTAAATATAGGATTCATTTTGGAACTAATGTTGACCTACTTGTAATTTAATTGTAATTTAATAAATTTATATGCCGCCCAATCCCGTAGGACTCCCAATACATCAAAGCATATCAGAAATGCTAAAATTACTACCAATATAACTTTAAGATAGGATTTGGATTCATCAGATGAAACTTGTTCTCACAGAATAATGGTAGAATTATAATGTTATGGAATGAATGTGGAATGATTTCCTTCATGGCATCAAATGTAAATTTTTATATTCTTATTAATAGGAATGGCTTTCAAAAGGACATGGAGAATACCTAGAAATCCCCAGTGAGCGAGATTTTTTTCAAGAGGTGAAAGGGAGCAAAAATGTGGTCTGTCATTTTTATAGAGATTCAACCCTCAGGTAATCACTAAAAAGTTAAAATACCTTTCTAGTTAATGCATAGAATTGCCATATTTTTAAATGTATGAGCCCTTTACAAAACCAACTGCAGATTTCTAGTCATAATTCTAATTGCATTCACAATATTGTAATTTGTTTAGCCATTGTTTGTTGAATAACTATAATACACTGGATCTCCATATCATGCCAAACCATATTCAAGGAAGTTGATAGTGGTTTGCTGAAGATAGGAAAAATATCAGTGACTCTTAAGGACAATTATCTGAAAGATTTATTGGAAAACCTGATGGAAAGTTATCTGAGATAACTTTCAGATTCAATGTTGCATTTTTCACAGTATCAACTCCCAAAGTCAAAATGAAAGGAAATTGAAAAATAGATTTGGGGCATGTGCTTAATAATTTATCCACACACTGATTTTAATATTTAATTATATCTATATAAGGAATATTTTCCTGAAGGTAAGAGGTCTTAAATAGCAGAATGCTGTGCCTAGAACAATAATGGACCTTGTTTTACTTTTTCAAATGGACAGGATGACAGACTTTCAGGGATTGTTTAATAGAGTCCTTTATGAAAAGGGAGTTTGATTAGATCACATCCATTTTAACTTTGGTTCTATGACTGTAGTACCATTGGCATAGCAAAACATGAAAGCACGCTTCAGATAGTGCTTGTAGTGTTTTAAGGTGGCGCAAAGCTTTTGAAGGAGCTTTCCTGAAGTTCTTGTCTTGAAAATGGTGAAATAACCATATTCACTTGGCTCATTCAAAGGGATTTCCAGACATCTTTGCATTTATATGCATACTTGTGGAGAAAATATTTCATCTGTTCCTGCTAGTGAAGCAACTATATATGCAGAAACATGAAAGCACACTTCAAATGCTTTGCACAGCCTTACTTGAGTTACAAAGCAAGAGATGACTTCATATTTCACCATTTAACGTATGAAATATTTTTATTTTTCCTCAGATGCGTGATATTAGATAAGCATTTAACAATACTTGCAAAAAAGCATATTGAGACTAGGTTTATCAAGTTAAATGCTGAAAAATCACCATTTCTTTGTGAGAGACTTCGCATCAAGATAATTCCCACATTAGCACTATTAAAAGATGGAAAAACTCAAGATTATGTGGTTGGGTTTACTGATCTTGGCAACACAGATGAATTCACCACAGAGACTTTAGAATGGAGATTAGGTTGCGCAGATATCATCAATTACAGGTAAATAAAATTAATCTTACAATAGTAGCTGTTATACTGTTATATAATACTCTTAATATAAAAAAATATCTTCCTGGCAAAGTAGTGAAATTGATATACTAAGTCATTATTTTTGAGGTTTCCCTGATTTATGGATTTTTACTACTGTATTACAAATATTTTATACCTTTTATAAAATATACACCTTTTATATATTTTTATGTATGTCTAATTCATATGTCTATATCCAATATAAGATACGCCAGATTATAGAGCATCTATACTATGGGCCAGCATTCAGATCCACATTCAGTAAAGACTTCAAGAGAAAAGACCCTGTATGCATAGATGTACCAGATAGATTCCCATTAGAGGAGATGGTCCCTAATCCCTGGAAGCCAAGATATATAAGTCAAAACCAATTATTTCAACTGAATTTGGCAGCCTATTGCTAATCAATGCAGCAATTTGGAAAGTGTGTGTAATATTTTCATAGCAGCACTCACAGTCTGGCTGTAGTTTTTAAATGGTTTCCAAAGGCAGCCTAGCAGTTTCTGGACAAAGCCTCCTAGTTCATGTTGGATCACAACTGATGCAGTAGCCTTTATCTAGGTAAGGCTAGGTCAGGTTCCTACCTGTTATTCCACTAGCAACTGCTAAAATAACCCAAAATTTCAACCAACTCCTTTAAAGAAGAGAGTCTTGTCCAGAAGTAATACTGGGACTATCTCAAATCGGAACAAAAAGTAACTTGATCTTTCTTGGATTAAGTCTAAACTTTTTTCAAATCCTTGAGGCTTTCAGACACTGGTCTAGGATTTCCATTGCATCTCCAGTTCAACCTGAGATAGCAGTACATATTTGAGTATTATCAACATATACTTGCATGACCAGCAGATGACTTCTGTGGGTTTCCAGTATATATTCAAAAGTAGCATGGATAAGTTGGTTAAATGTTTGACCATCCCTTCCTACTAAAGTAGGAGTGGAACCACCATAAAATGGTTCCTTCAGCCCCCAGTCCTTGTAGGCGGTCCAGTAGGGTACAATGGGCAATGGTATAAAAAGCTGTGTAAGTTTCAATAAGACAAAGAGGGACACCTTCCCACTTTCAAGAGCCCAAATCCTCCAGAGCCATCAGTACTGTTTCTGCTCCATAGATAGGTCTGACTCAAAGTTATTCAAATAATCCTATTCTAGTTCAAATGTCAGCAGAGCAACACATCTAATCACAGCAAACATACCATGCACAGTCATTGCCACCATCATCCCAGCCACAACATTTCAGCTGTTAATGGACCTGAAATATAGGACGGGAAATTTCTCACAAAGCTATCGCTTCATCACTGCCCAATCAAGTTTCGGTAATACATGCCCATTTATCCATCAACATATTATGCGTGAATGAGATTTTATTCAAAACAAAACTAACATTTGTCAAAAGCAGCCTGTATCAAAGGCCATCAGTTTTTACCAGAGACTCAGAAACATGGAAAATTGAAATAAATTTCCAGGCATTCACATATTCTGCTATCTTACTTGCTCTCTTTCATTTTCTTGGAACAATCTTGAGTTTGAATGCCATTGGCATTCAACCACCAATCAAGTTCCTTTTTCAATTACAGTGTGCTTCCCATTCAGGCTTATTTGTCTCTATTTAGTACCCTGTCCTTTTGCCTGCTGTCTCCATTTTTCAACCATCAATCCAACCACATTCAACTTTTCTTCATCCACTTTGATTTTCAAATCAGTCTCAGTTGTCAAACATTCTAAATACTACTACAAACTTTCAACCTCCTTCCCAAATCTACTAAAAGACAACAGCAATAACAGTTCCCAAACAAAAATTAACTAGTTTCTGGGTGCCAATTTGTAAGAAAAATAAGATGGTTGGCCAGTTGATGACACGGACAAATTGATTGTGAACAAGATGGGGGCAGGGATCCAATCCAGCAGGGTATTGCTTATGTTTTATCACACCTGTTAATTGTTTTAAATGTTTGCTATAATCCTAAGAGATCCATGAAGCAAAATAATGTATCCCTTTTTTAATGTAATACCGGGGAAGGGGGAGAGTTGGCTTCAGATAATTGTACTTCTAATTTGTGTTGTGGCAGACATGTCTAATAAACTGCTTTTTCAGACAGCTATTACCTTAAGGATATTTACATTATTACTAATTTCTTCTTTTTTAGTGGCAACTTAATGGAGCCTCCTTTCCAAAGCCAAAAGAAGCCTGGAACCTTTTTCACAAAATTGGATAAGAAAACAATCAGAGGAAAGAAATATGATTCAGATTCTGATGATGATTAGAATTCATGATACAAATATTTGTAAACCATTTTTCTTTTATGTTTGATACATTTTTAGGAATGTTTTATTTAGCTGTTTGCTTTCGGAACATTTGCACATGACACTCATTTTCTAACATTTTTATAGAGCTCATGAAAGGAAATCTTAAATATTTCTTCCTCTTAAGAAATAATTTCTTAGTAAAGAAATTTGAACACTTTTCAATTGTGTAATATGATAGATGACTTTCAACATTTTCTTAATTTAACAATAGCTCTCTTAAACAGCATCTTAAAATTTATACCATTCACCATTAAGGTATTAATGAAAGACTTCTGTCAAGAATTGTTATTTAAACTATTCTTGAAGTAGTGCATTAATAAAAGTCATTCTTATAATACCATGGCTGTGATTTTGCGTACTCTTACGTCATTAGAACATATTATAAAATTTCAGTAGTTTCTTTAACTTAACTCTGCCAGCTGTGTACACTGCATGTTAGAGCTCAATTAGCCCTAAATACTACATGACAACTATACTGAACTAAAATTCTGAGGCTTGAAGGACAGCTTATATTTTTAAGAACAAGCCACAGGAAAAATTGAGATGTTTAAACTGATATGAATACAGTTTAATACAATGTCTTGCAGTGTTGTTTTCACTAATATACACATTTCCTGGCACAGCTTTTTGAAATATTAACAATCCTGTAGAACTTTGACAGCCTGGTCGGTAAAAGAATATTTTCCTATACAGTATATCACATTTAAATGTTCCACACCTGCAAATTATCAGTCTTAGGAGAAAAATTAAGTCTCACAGGAACTTAAAAACAAATTAAAGCAAATACAGGAATTTTCCATTCTATTGGCAGCCAATCAAATAATGGTTGCTGGGCATGAGATTACTGCAACTATCTTCCCCAAGAAGAAAGAAAATGAGATTTAAATTTCTTTATATATTTTATTCTATGAAAGATAAAGACATGGTGTAGCTCAGTGATGGCGAACCTATGGCACATGTGCCACAGGTGGCACGTAGAGCTGTTTGTCAGGGCACGCAAGGCACTGCCCTGTCAGCTGGCCAGCGTGCATGCCTGTGCTGGCCAGCTGAGTTCACCCTTATTAAAAGCCATTTTTCGCCCTCCCCAAGCTCCAGAGGCTTTATAGGAGCCTGGGGAGGGCAAAAAGAGCTTCCCCTGCCCCCGGCAAGCCCTCCGGAGGTTCATGAGCTTCCCTGGAGCGCAAAAAACCGGTCCTACGGGCAAACCGGAAGTTTGGGAACGGACTTCCAGTTTGCTCGGAGGGTTGTTTTAACTGCTCTGGAGGCTTCAGGGAAGCCTCCTGAAGGTCCCTGAAGTCTTTGGAGCACTCAAAACGACCCTCCGAGCAAACCGGAAGTGACTTCCGCTTTGCTTGGAGGTTCGTTTTGACTGCTCCTGAAGGTCCCTGAAGCCTCCAGAGGGCTTCTGGGGGGGCTGGGGAGGCTGTTTTCGCCTTCCCCAGGCTCCTATAAAGCCTCTGGAGCCTGGGGAGGGTGAAAAAACATGCAAAAAATGGGGTCGTGCCTATAGTGCGCGCATGCGCACTGGGGGGTTGTGCATTGCATTATGGGTGCGGCACGCTGATGTAGCTGAAGGGTAAATGGAGATAATATGCATTCCACAAGCAAAGTGCCATAGTTTTGGAATCACATTTAAGCTTTTCTTTTCTTCAAATGTTGGATGGAAACCATGGACACTACTTTCTCAAATGACAAAAAGAAAGCATGAGAGAAGTTAATGAGGATAGCCACAGGACAGGGATACAAGGTAATGGGAAAGAAATAACTGAAACATGGCTTTCAACTAGGAAGACAGGTTTGAGTGTGGGTCACCTGGATAGACTGATTCTCGTTTTATAAACAATTGTTTCCAGAATAGTTATAAAACTTAAGTGTCTTAAAAGGTTTATAATATTAATCCTTAATAATATTGGTTTTGTAGTGTTCAATTACATTAAAATTATACTCTTGAGTACTACAAACCTAAAATGTTTTATGTCTCCCTAGAGACATCATTTTTCTCAATGTATTTTTATACTTATGGCGAGGCATAATACAAGAAAAGAGTAAAAAAGGCATTTCTTGGAACATTAAGCTGGTGGATTAAATATAGGTACTCCTCGACTTACAATAGTTCATTTATTCACTGTTCGAAGTTACAAAGGCACTTATGACCATTTTCACACTTATGATTTGCATCATCCCCATGGTCAGTGATCAAAATTCAGACACTTGGCAGCTGACTCATATTAATGACGGTTGCAGTGCACCGGGGTCATGTGATCCCCTTCTGACCAGTCATTGGGGAAGCCAGATTCATAAATAGGCAACACTCACTTAACAAATTTTTCACTTAGCAACATAAATTCTGGGCTCAGTTGTGATTGTAAGTCAAGGACTATCTATACATCTATTGCCATTTGGGAAAGGAATGATCTAGCCCTGGCCAGTGACAGTGCTTTGAAGGTTCTAACTAAATATGCTTGCTTCTCTGGAGATGTGGATTCTACAGTAGTCAATGTAACACAATCTAATAATTGACTGGTATCTTCCACATTTTGCTTTTTGCTAATCTTTGAATGCAAGTATTTCATCTGTAAAAATGCCCCCTTCTACAATATCTGTAGTCAAGAACTTTGCAGAGTTAGATTTCTTCTATAATCTAAGTACCCTGTACACTATTTATGATGCCATTGCATGGTTATTTATCTAAAGTTAAAAAGAAAACTCCTAGAACTTAGGCAGCAGTGTTTCCCTGCATTTTAAAATTTGTTTTGATTATTGATTATCCAAAGCAGTTCAAGAAAAATAAAGCTCTTTCTTTGATATGATATCTGGCTTTTCTGAGTGCACATAAAAGCCCACTCATCACTAAATCAAATGAATTTTCAAGGAAGGAGTTGGAAGGAGTTATCTTGAGAAATTCTACAAACCTTTGTACAAAATTTTTGGCTCATATTTAATTAAAAATATTTTGTTTGTAATTCAAAATTTACAGTCATTAAGATAATGAATAAGCCTTTGTTATATACATTAAAATCATTTTTATTTCATAACCATATGTGGATATGTTTACTGTCATCCTCCAATTTCTTTGTTTTTGTTTTATAATTCATTGAAAGTGTTTTAAATAAAAATAAGACTTTTTATATAATTTTTAAAGTGCAATTCTTTTTCCCTATAATAATTTCAACCAACAATATTATTTCAGTCAAGAAGAAGGAGATCCACTTACTGGACAGCCACCATAAAAGATACCTCAGCCTACAAAAGAGGAAGGGTATGGGAAACATTTTAGAAGGAACCCGTCTTAGTTTTTCAGACAGCAAAAGGAAAGAAGGGGAAATACTTCTAGTTTTACAAAATTTTGTTAATGCTATCTCAAAAGGCTAACACAGCTCTTCCAATGCTGAGGAATGACTGGTGTTCATCACCAGCTGGTGATTTTTAGTAGAAGAAATAAGCCAGAATTATCCACCAATTGTCCTCTTTAACTCTTGCATTAAACTACCATCAGAACACTACTCCCTGGTAGAATAGAACAATGCAAAGCATACCAGAAATTTCATCACAACATCCCATTCAAAAAAACCCACCCAAAAGCTATTTTCCTGCCAGTCCTATATGCAAGGTTTCCAGGAAAAGGAAGGAAAGCTAGACCAGGCCTGTTTATGTAGTTTCCTGCTAACAAACTACTTAACGGACATAGCCCTCACATGAAGCTCAGGGAATCTTACTTGTATATCTACTGAGGCAGAAGCTGTTATGGAGCTGGCCTCACTCAAGCTAGGGGTTGCAAGTGTGAAATCCTATACAGGTAGTCTTTCACCAAAGTTATGGTAGACCTCCCCAAAAGCTTCTTACAATCCACTTTTGATGTTACAACTGTTGTAGTCCCTCACGTGAACAAAATCTGGGCACGCAGCAGTCTGCCAGATTACATGGACACTGCAGTGGGCCTCAGGACTGGAAGGAAATATTTAATAAAACTGAAGAATTCTAAGAAATGCTGAGACAGAGTGAAAATGATTGGTTCACCTCAAGATGCTATGAAAACACAAATTTTTTCATACAAAAACAAAAGGGAAAAAAGTCAACTGAAGCCAAGAACTGGGCATTTTGACTCCTGGAGCTGAAGACATAATATTTTTGTCAATTTTATTCTTGCTATGTGGATTTGGGGGGGGGGGGCTGGATTATTGAGAGGAAACTTCAAAATCTGAAGCTAGTATTTCTCTTAAAAGGATCTAAAATTTAAGAGTTGTGAAATGAAAAAAAATCCTTCCATTGGGAAATAGATTCATAGCATTTAAAAATATAACAACAACAATAATAATATAAACCCAGCTTTACACATTTTCAATTATACTGTACCTGAGACAAGAGAAAAAAAATCTGAACTATCTAATGTGAGATTTATTATTGCTTTTGAACTGGCACTACGTGTATGTGACAATCCCTTTTGATTTGGTACTTTCCTGAAATACAATTATGTTATTTCCCAAGTGTTGCAATCGACATCCTGTTTGGTCAGTTACCAGAAATTAATTTTGAAAGTGAAACTATGTGCCCTTCTTTTCCTCATTCAACACAGTATTGAAAGTGACTGCAGACAACAGATAATCATGGAAGGTATTTATTTATTTTCTTATAAAATATGTAATGGGTGATAGGCAGTGGTTAGGATGAGGGTTAGGAAAGAACTAGTCATTTGTGTGCTGAATGATGTGGTCAAATTTTGCCAAAGTATTAAGTTACATACATTATTGGCTAATTTTGAGCCTAGTAGAGCGTTAATGTGTTTGTTTCCTTCTTTTAAGACCCCTATCCACTTCCCTTCTTCTTAATTTAGAGTGCAGTGTTATGGTTCCTAGCAATCTTAGCAAACTGGGAGCAGTAGCATGAAGTAAATTTCCCTTACTGGGTTGGGAAATAGTTCAATTTATGGAAAAGGATATTTTTTGAAGCTTTCAGTACTCCAAAATCCATTATCTCCCTGTCAAGGTGAAATTGTGTCATATCGAATCCCATCAAGCTTCAAACTTCAAGATCCAACCTTATCTCCAGGTTTTCTGATAATTCCCCAAATTAATAGAAAAACTATACCGGCTATGGAGCTGGCCTAATTCATTTCCATTCCACTGAATTAATGGGCTAGAGAGTAGAACAAATAGAATGAAGATATGCCTATTTTAATTTTCTTTTCTAAATATTGTTAAGCACAATTATTTACTTGTATGTGGGCTATTTTGCTGTTCAGCCTGGTGATGGAAATAGCATTACATGTTTTCTGAAATATTCTTCTAAATGACTTGTTTGCTTAGAGCTGAAATTAGGCAATTTGTGACACGTTGGATCATTGTTTCAATTATTTCTTTACTAGATGTCTTAATGTCTTCAACGATGATGGAGCTTCTACTGTACTTGAAAAGATTTTAGAAATTCAGAGAGATGTTCAGAAATGTTTCTGCCTTGAAAATACTCCGTGTTGAACTGTATAGTAAAATATCAGCAATTGATCACAGAAAATGTTTTGTGACATTTTGTATTATATCATAAAATACTTTTATGTCATGCTTTATAAAATTGGCAAATTTCAATTCCACAGGAGTCATAGGCCATGGGTCCTGTAAGTTAGCGCATTTGAGGTACCTTGATTTAAAAAGTTTTGTTCTATCCTGCCCCATTTCACCCAGTTAAAGGTTACAGACACGAGAGTTTTAGTAGTATATAGATTTAGATCAGGACTTTATGATGATGACTATTGTCAGCTTCAGATAAGGCAAATAGAATTTCTTTGCAATAGACTGCTAATACATTTTATGACTAGACAGTAATTTAATGCCTGTATAAACAGCTCGTTCTTCTTATGGTAACATAATGGATGTGGATACCACTGGAGCTTCTCTTGAAACTGGAAAACAAGAAGGCTTGCAGTTTGGGGGTAAGATTAACTATAACCTACATTTGAATATATGTATATGCAATGTGATATAAATGTTCTTTCTCTTTTCTATTCAATGTGTAACTATTCTTAAGTCTGTATGTTCCTTACCAGAATCATATTTCCGTTTTTGTCCCCTTTGGAAAAAATAGATGTTTATTGCAACTATATAAATAGCTTATACACAGTGATTAGATTTGCTTTATAACAATATATATATAATTGCACAATTATATAACTACAGCAATATTCTTAAACAAGTAAGGGTTTCTGTCTCCTCTTCAGAATGAAAATTTAGAGAACTTTTCTTTGGCATTTAATGTTATATTTTTTGCACTATAAGATGCACTTCCCCAAAAAAGATGGTTAGAAAAGTCTGTGCTTCTTATAGAGCGAATATTGTGGTGAGGGAGAGGGCTTGGGGCTTGTCACCGCTGCTGCCATTCGCCACCACCTAGGAATCCTGGAGCCTTCACTGCCAAGCAGCTGATTGGCGGTTGGATGGGCTTCCTGGAATACTACCAATCAGCTGTTCTAGCCAGCTGGGATCGCTGGTGACATCAATTGCCATCGCCCCCAATCGCTGCTGCTGAATGCGGTGGCGGTGGCAATCAGTGGTGAATGGTGATAGGTGGCAGCAGTGATCCCTGCCACTTTGATCAGCTGATTGGCAGTATTCTGGGAGGCCGATCCAGCTGCCAATCAACTGCTCATCAGCGAAGGCTTTAGTGTTCCCTGGCAGCGAAAGCAGTTCAGGTCAGTTGACTGGTAGTGGAAGAAATGGAGCAGAGACCTGACGAGCCACGTGCTGGGGCTGCGATAACGTGCTGCAGCTGACCAGGCTGTTTGCTGCAAGGATGCGAGCCAGATGAACACTGAATGGATGCTGGGAGGCAGAGGCAGAATTTTTTTTCTTGTTTTCCTCCACTAAAGCTAATGTGCGTCTTATGGTCTGGTCCATATTATAGTGCAAAAAATATGGTACCTCTTCATTGTACTCCTTACTATGGTTTCTGAAAATTACTTCAGCTTGCTTTTTTTGTTTTTATTCTTTAACATCTTTTCCCCACCTATGCTTTTGCCATAAGAACCACTTACTTGTTGGCTGCTGCCCTTTCTATAAACATAATTTTCTTCCTATGTCCTGTTTCGTTTTTTCCCCACTTACACAATACATTTAATGCATATTTGATGCTCTTTTTGTGTCAGTGTGCCTTCAAGTCAAGTTTTTTAACTCACAAATCCCTGCAGTTTTCTTGGCAAGAATTTGGAAGTGGTTTGCCAATTGCCTTCTTTCTAAGGCTAAGATTGATTCATTCACTAGAACTCATGATCTTCCAGTTTCTAGCTTAATCATTACACTAAATTGGCCATGATGTCGTTGATGCTCTCTAGGCTTGGTTGTTTCATTCAGGTAATATCATCAGTTCTAGGCTCTGATGCTCATATAGGAGGCAGCATTTACTTTAATTTCAAAAATGAAGCTTCCCATATAGTTAATTGATGCTAGAATGGAACATTGCTGGAAATGTGGATTAGATTGAGAAACTGGAAAAAAATTTTTGAAGAAAGCAATGGCTATGTCCATGAAGTGCTTTAGTTTTCCAGAAACTAGATTTTTTAACAAAGTTACTGATAAACCCATCAATAGTAGCCATCAGTGGCACATTGACCATTATAATGAAGACGGGCTTCCTATTTGATCAAATTCTTAAACATAAGGACACCTGTTCTGTTTAGTTTAATTCCAATTGTTATTTTTAATCAGAAGTACATTTTTCATGTTGGTTTTTTTTTCCCTCTGCAAGGGGTTGAGGCTTCAAAAATAATTGCAAGGAGAGATCTAAACAATCTAGAGAAATATAAAATGAAGATTAAGCATGTCAGCGAAAAAACAAATATTGATGCAGCTGTGATTGCTGCTATAATATCTCGAGAATCCCATGCTGGAACTATCCTACAAGATGGCTGGGGTGACCATGGAAATGGATTTGGATTAATGCAGGTAAAGACTTTTGTTATCAATTAAGAAACACAAAATGCCCAATGTTCAACAATTCTAAGCAAAGCTATCCTGAAGTAATTATAGGGTATGATTATAATTGTCCCCAAGCAAAATGCAATCTTGTATAATGGAAAGTTTTTCCATTTCTCCCTAAATACACTCTCTGTCCCACTCTTTATAGTATCTTTACCATGTTCTGACTGTACATCTCTTTGGTAACTGATCTGTATTTTTAAATTATTAGCTCTGTAAAGCAATTGAACTATTCTGGCATAACATAATCATAGCAATAATGATTACAGAATAATCGAAAGCATGTCATCATTTTTCAGGTGGATAAAAGACATCATGTACCAGTTGGCACCTGGGACAGTGAGGAACACATTACTCAGGGGAGTCTCATTCTCAGAAGCATGATAGAAAAGATTAAAGAAAAATTTCCATTATGGACAAACGAACAGCAGTTCAAAGGTATGAAACATCATTCTACTAAAATCTACATAGAATCTGTTTTATGTCCAGAGCCTTCCTATCATTTTTCCATGTGACTCAGTATTTATAACATGTGATAATGGTTCTCTGGTTTGGAGGAGGAACTAGAAAATTCCCAAACAAAGATGAGATCTTTAGAAAGGAAATATATATGCTCTAGCATTCATAACTATGATCAAATAGTTTTTGTTGCCAACCAATCCATTTTTTTATTATTTTGTTATTCACCTAGTATAGGTGGCCATTGACCTACAACCACAACTGAGCCCCAAATTTCCATTGTTAAGCAAAACGATTTGAGTTTTGCCTCAATTTATTACCTTTCTTGCCACAGTTGTCAAATGAATCACTGCAATTGTTAAGTTAGTAACTCTTTTGTTAAGTGAATCTGGATTCCCCACTGACTTTGCTTGTCAGGTCATAAAGGGTAACCCAGGGATACTGCAACTGTCATAAATACATGCCAGTTGCCAAACATCTGAATTTTGATAAATTCATCATAGCGAATACTCAACAGTTGTTAAGTGTGAAAAATGGTCATTCACTTTTTCAGTGCTGTTGTAACTTCAAACAGTCACTAAATGAATGATTGTAAATTGGAAAAGTTGATAACTACAGATACAATGTTGTCATTTTGAAGATGGACAAGAACATTTTTCCACATAATTCAGATTAGAAAGCAGGTTACAACCGTAATTGAGCCCAGTATTACAGTTGTAAATTGTTGCAGTTAAGCAAAGCATCCATTTGCCCAACCACTGCAATCTTGGCTCTCCCTATTGCAGTCATTAGATGACTGCATGGATCATTAAGCAGTGTGTTGGGGTCTCAGGAGGTGGGATACCTTTGGAGGCCTCAAGCCCAGGCCTGCACTCCAGCACCTTCCCAGCTGATACAGGGCTTGCACCAGGCCTTCCCCGCCCAAGGTACACTTTGTACAGCTTCCTGCCCAAGCCTTGGGCTGTCTTCTTGCCCACCTGTATCAGAAGACTTAGATCTGCTTCCTGCCCTGCTGGGTCCCACATCCTTGGGCCTCCTCCCCATCCCTTCACATTTTGTATAACTTGTCGGTGCCAGATTTTCTGAAGATCACCTTTCCAAGAGTATCCAGCTTATGGGTGCAGACCTTCCTACAGAGGACCTACCTTGCACCATTTGGGAAGTGAGTGCCATTCACACAATCTCTCAGAAAGATACACTTTTCCAAATCCTGCTCTTTTGAGAGGTCATGAGAATACACCACCTTCCAGAATGGTGCAAGGTGGCCTCTGCAGGAAAGCTCCACATTGCTGGGCACTCTTTCAGAAAGGCGATATTTGGAAGAGGTAACTGGAAGAAGACATGTCAGGACAGGAAGGAAGTCCAAGGCTATAGACCCAGCAGGGTAGAAAGCAAGCCCAAGGTCTGGGGGTTAGCAGCGGGGCAGAAAGCAAAGCCAAGGCCTATGAGATCCCAGTGGGGCACCCAAGGCCCGTGGGACCCAGCCAGGTGGGAAGTGACTCTAAGGCCTATGGTGACTCAAACAGGAGGAAAGTCCAAGGGATATGGCAGAGTGGGATGGGGGGAGGTACAGGCAGGTGGGGCCTGCTGCCGTTTCCCAGCAGTCAGTTCTCAGGGCAGGTGAATTGCCAAACCTCTGAAGTTTAATCACATGACTATAGGAGCACTGCAACAACTGTAACTTCAGGTACTGGTTATATGTCCCTTTGTTTAGCACCATTGTAATTTTGAATGATCCCTGAATGAATAATCATAAGTCAAGGATTACCTGTATAAAAGCAAAATGCTAGAAAGATTATGTTTCATGATACACGAATTGCAAGATATTTTATCTCTTTTAGTATATTTAAATAAAACGTCTGCTTAATTTTCTGATAATATAAATTATACATTCCTAGAAATATCCTTATAGCCCTTCAAAGGCACATTTGTAGATTATTGCAGGCAAAATTATTCCAAAACTTTTACTCACTTCTACTAAGAAAGAAAATTATTTTTTTATTCTGAATACTGTGCTTTATCTCTAATCAGTTATTTAACCTATTTTTCATTAGGAGCATGGTTAATCCAATCTAGATTCAGTTTATAAGTTGTATTAGCATTTGAGGAATGCCTACCACATTAACATTTAACTTTTTAAATGATAGGTGGAATTTCAGCCTACAATGCAGGACCTAAAAATGTCCAAAGCTATGAGCGAATGGATATAGGCACTACGAAGAATGACTATGCCAATGATGTTGTTGCAAGAGCCAAGTTTTACAAAACAAATGGATATTAAAAGTCTAGAACAAAGATGCTGTCATTTCAGCCTTACCCAAATTTTGTATGTAACACTAGCAAGATCTATTCGTTAAATTCTACAAAAATAAAGTTGTGCCAATTTCTGCAGAAAATAAAGCTATATTGCTATTTTATGGTTGTAATCATACTTCATGCAAGCAAGCTTGTATTCCCATTACGGGGCTTTCTTTCCTGAACGCCATCACTCTGCTAAACAAATAATTCCCTCAACACTGTCAAATTATGCACTATTAATCTTCTCATCCTTCCTATCACCCATTTCCTCCCACTTATGCCTGTAAGACTGTAACTTTGTTGCCTGTATCCTTATGATTTATATTGTTTCCTAGTATGATTTGATTGCTTATTTGTACCTATGACTATAATTAAGTGTTGTACTTTATGATTCTTGACGAATGTATCTTTTCTTTTTATGTACACTGAGAGCATATGCACCAAAGACAAATTCCTTGTGTGTCCAATCACACTTGGCCAATAAAAAATTCTATTCTATTCTTTCTCCCCACTCTTTGTTCCACCACACTATTATATCCTTTTAACTTTAGTCTGTATAAGAAAATCAACAGGACCTGTCTACACTACAGCATCTAGTGTGAGTAATCCTTAGTGGTGAACTGGGGAATGACGTGAAAATATTTTCAATCACTCATTTAGAACAGGTAAAACTGCATAATGAATGTACAAAAGAATGTGACAACTATGGAGTAAGCCAAGGCTCCAATGAAAAACACGTATTTCATCTGTAGAGGCCTATGTGTGCCTAGGAATTTATATAGCTTTGAAATTCTGGGAATTAATAGAAATTTAGGGGGATACTGCTTTTGGGAGACAGTCAAAATGGACTTCTCCATGGACTCTCTATCTGTAGCATTTCAAATCAATTTACACAGGCAGCTATACGTAAGTTAGCTGCAACTTGTCTAATGTCGCTCCCCCTTTTGCAGTCCAAATAAATTGCATCTACAAACTAGCCTGAATTCTGTGAGCTCATAACATTACACTGGAAATATAATGAAAGTTCTGGAAAGTAAGTTAGCATCACAAATATACTATTAGCTTGTTGAAGAGAATTGCTCAAATCATCTTGGGTTGGAAAAAAGAATCAGCCAGACATCCAAAGTAAATGTTTTAGTAATAGGCAATTTCCATTATCTACATAGACTGGGTAAATGTATATTCAACACATAACAGTTTTCCCTGATGTGATCAGTGAAACTAATACATGAGGGGATAAAAAATTAATTCAAAGTAATACACTAGATCTGGTAAGACTTAAAATTTGAGTAATGATTTAGAAATGTGCTACCTTATTTCTGGACTACTTCATTCTGTATGTATTTTGAAAAAAAAGTGTAGACCTGAAAATATGTGCAATCAGCTTCTAAATAGACCTTCATTCATACTTTAATTTTAATACTTTAAAAGTATGGATTTCCTGGCAGAGAAACAGTATATAAATTATCCAGGAAGCAATCACATCCATATTTTCCATAAAACAAAAAAAGTATACAAAATTATGTTAATAAAAAAGGTGAAATGAATGTCAGAAGAATCAGATCTCTTTAAACATATGGGGATTTTCCAAACAAAACAGTTCAGCTGAAATGTTTACCAACCAAAAATGGGATAAGTAAAATTTGGTATATGCCACTGTACAAGAACACTATCCACATACAGTATTTAAGAAGACTTCTGTCTCAAAATGGAAAACATCCCCACATGAAAGGTGTGGGGGCACACAGATATAAATGCTTGCAAGTGAATTGCTGACATGAAACAAAATATAGAAATACATCTGCCTGAAGAATTCCTGTAGGAGCAAATCTGGTTGAAGGCTACTTCCTGAAAGTCAGTTACAAAAGGAAGATCCTTAAACAAAATAGAAATACTAAAAAATAAATAAAGGTAAGATTACTGGAATGAACTCATAATTATTGGGGGGGGGGGAATGGATCAAACATATGGCTTATTTACAATTAACTGACCACTGACTGTATCTGCCTGACGATGTCAATTTATTGTGTAATGCTGCTATGCTATTCACAAAGGGAAACCTTAAAAGTCAACTTTTATCTGACTAACAATGACCAGCGAAACAGCTTCAAATTAGTTTAACCAATCATCACAGAAATTCAGTTTAGTATTACGTTAGTTACAGCTTTCTGTAAACTTTGTAGATACCAAAATATATCTCAAAAGCTGCTGCTGCAGTTGCTATTATTTATACTGTCACATTTACAACAGCCAAACTGTTTAAGTAAAAATTATGCCCAAATACTACATATTTTTATCTTCTTAATAATAACACTATTTAATTTTATGAGATTGCAATTAAGTCTAGAGAAACTGTTCTAAAAATGAACATACATATTATGCCTCTAGTGGCAATTACAGTAATACAATTCTCAACTTAATATTACATTTATTATATAAAGTATTAATACATTATTATGAAGAATCAGAGGTGTTCTTTTCCACTTCTTTTAGATGGCGACAAACTATCAGTTCACCTGTGACCTTGTTAAGATAGGTATCAGGTATTTCTTCTTCTGTTGGAATTCCATAAGGCAGTTTTAATGGTTTTATTCTATAATAAAAAAGGGGGGGGGGGTGACAACCTATTAGTGTTTTTAGACCAAACCAATTTCCAAATATTGCTGATGAGAAGAATTACCCACCTTATTAGGTGTTTGATGACTTTAAGTTTTTCATTCACAGAAGGGATGTTTTTAAGCACCACTGGAGCATATCTCTGTAGATGATACAAAGCTACAACTCAGTTTCCAATGCACCACAGAAGTAAATTTATGAGAACAGTTATAGTAGCAAAGTTTGATTAGATTTTAATAAATATTAAATCACTGCAGACACTAAATATTCAGTAACAATAAAATAAATGTTATGATTCCTTAAATTGATTTCTGCTACAATTTAGTCTTAAAAGTAGTTTTCCTTTAGTGGCCACAATTGGGAGCAACAATTAATGGAAGTGGTTGCTAATCAAAACTGAGATCGTGATTATGATCTTACTTCAGCTTTCCTTTGATTTACAGACCTGCAATGGTTGTAAATGCGAGGACTGGTTGTAAAGTTACTTTTTTATCAGGAACATAATTTGAATGATCATTATAACACAAAGGCAGTCATTAAACGAGAACTACCTATAAAGCTAACATTTGTTAAAGCATTCAGGGACTTAACCATAAATATAATTGCCTAAAGATGCAGACTCTATAAGTACTCTTGATTTCTATACTGATTCAGCCATGGAGAACAACATGTAAAGAGGGGGATTGTTAAGATTTCTGATATTAGCTGCTGTGTCAGGTGTCATCATCCTGTCTGCCGCTGTGCAACCACGTGTGACTGCTCCCAATCTCATGTAGCTCTCAGAAGCAAAATACTGTCCTGGTTCTTACAATCCATTCCTTAACTGTTTTATATGCTAAAGAGGTGTTTCTCAATTATAGTACACATTTCATGAAGAGAAGGGTAAGCCTGTACGTAAGAACTTGTTTTTTTCTCTTTTTTCTCATTAACATAATGTCTAAAAAAATGAATGCTGCTACAGACTTGGTCTTATTATTAAATCTGTATGTCATGCAACTCTTTGCTTCAATTGTGATGTGACAGACTCCTAAAGATAAAGGAGGAATGAAAGCCTGTGTTATGCCTGTCATTTGTAATCATTGTGACATAGGTATAAAGCTTCTTTTCAGAAATCACTTTTATAGAACATTTTTTGTTCACTCTTCATTTTCCCCTCCTGTTATATAATCCTTCAACAACAAAAGCATTTCAATTCTACTTAGTTTCATGTTACACTTAATTCAGTAATCAGGCAGACACTTAAGAGCAGCAACTTTTTTAAACTCGTAGAGACTGCCTTCATAGCATAGTTTAAGATAATACATTTCTGAGATGCCATTACTGCATTTTAAAATGGTAAGACCCAGGGGTGAAATTTAGCAGGTTCTGAAGAACTGGTAGCGGAAATTTTGAATAGTTTGGAGAACCAGCAAATACCACCTCTGGCTGGCTCCAGAGTGGGGTGGGAATGGAGATCTTGCAATATCCTTCCCCCAGGAGTGGGGAGGGAATGCAGATTTGGCAGTATCCTTCCCCTGCCACACTCAACAAGCCAGACCCACAGAACCGGTAGTAAAAAAAATTGTATTTCACCACTGGTAAGACCCCGAAGATATTGCCAGTTCTAACACTGACATCAAAATGCTTCCATGAAAGCAAAAGTAAAGCTGAAGTGGTGGTGTAAGGATATCTTAAAACCTAAGATAGGAAGAAATTCTCACAACAACCACCTGGCAAGGACAGAATGTTGTGATTGGCAGGATGCAATTATCCCCAACTAATAATGCTATTTTCAGATGGATTTAATTTTAGTATAATTTATTGTTCTTTCCAAACTGATGACTAAATTTGCTTTAAACAGCTCAAAATAATAGTTTACTTAGAAGTAGCTAATGTTGAATTCAGTGGGTGCTAACACTTAATCAGG